AGGCAAACCTGAGGTTCTTTCATACTACTTTCGGATTGAGAATGTCTACCCAAGCAGCAGAAAGCTAGGTTAATTTTTTAAGAGACAGTGCTGAAGAAATTTGTAAGGGTGGTACAATTCAATAGTTAGGAAAACGATTACAAAGCAGTATCTTCCCAATTCTATCAGGGAGGCCATGCATTAAGACGACCACATAAATTTCCATTTCTCTAGCAGCAAATGGGCTTTGCCATGCCTTCCTCACACCTTTTCAATGTATCTGCAAAGTATTTCTGAGTTAACTAGGACCATGTCTTGCCCTTGAGGTAAATGGTATAAAGCAGATGGGAAAGGCAGTTTGCTTCCCCACAAGCATGCCGTAGGGCCCCCAGTGCCCCGTGCCTGTGTGTGCTCAGATGACACAGAGCCGCAGGAAGTGGCCTTTTCCTGACATTTTACACTTAATGCATCATGTGACAACCGAGGACAGTTAACAGCTGCGCGCTATGTTTCCTGCTAGCTCAGCCATCTCCTGTGAGTGAAGGTGTCTCTTCTGGGCGGAGAGTAGAATGAGTGATCAACCTTCTGCCTAGCTGGAGGACCAGAAGAAGTTGAACATTTCTTGAGCCCCAAATTATAAGACCCAGGGCACTGGGCAGCTCAGCTCAGTGCTAGGGACATTGGAGCAACCTCCACATCCCACGGTTAAAGCTAAGAGGAGCCATGGTAAGAATTCTGTAGGACAACAGGCTCCTCCTACAGGAGAGGGGCAGGGCTAGGTCAAACAAAATACGAGGAAGTCTCAAAAAGTTCATGGGAAGATTCCATCACCACTTAATCCCATTTTCCCTACAAACTTTTTGAAGCTCTGTCACATAAGATGAGCCATGTGTGATTTTTTTTTTTTTCTAGCAGTCACATGAAAACGGAGACAGAGGTGAAATTAATTTCAATAGCTTTCATTTAACCAAATGTTGTTGTTGTCAAGTGCCATCGAGTCGATTCCGACCCATAAACCAAATATTGTTGCTGTTGTTGTTAAGTGCCGTTGAGTTGGTTCTGACCCATAGCGACCCTGTACAGAGTTTCCGAGGCTGTAAATCTTTACAGGAGCAGAATGCCTCATCTTTCTCCTGCAGAGCAGCTGGTAGTTTCGAACTGCTTGGCCTTAAGGTTCGCAGCCTGATTCGTAACCACTACGCTACCAGAGCTCCTTAGCCAACATAAAAATGACTGGGACAGTTTAGAGCCGTTTTTGGCAGATTAGGAAGGATGGTACCATGTCTTTGCAATCTGGTATGTATGAGGGGAGCTTCAGAAATTTCATGAACAAATGGAATTAAAAGGATGGAATTTTCTGATAAGTGTTTTGAAGTCCCCTGGTATATTTCATACTCACAGTGCTATGGTGTGGGGCGGAGTCAATTACGACTCATAGCGACCCTGGGTGATAAAGCAGAATTTGCATGTTGCATTTCCTACACTGTTATTTTTATAGGAGTAGATCACGAGTTCTTTTCTCCCACAAAGCGGCTAAGTGGGTTTGAACCACCAACTTTCTGGTTAGCAGCCGACAGCTTAACCACTGTCCCTCCAGAGCTCTTATGGCAGGCACATCTCCATTTGGACTAATCCCATTTCTAGTGCTCAGTAGCATTCTGTGACTAGGTGTCCAAGGATAGTTTTTGTTGTTTCTGTGTGCCATCAAGTCGGTTCCGATGGATAGCAACCCCATATTGGGCTTTTGAGAGTGGCTGATGGGTTTGAACTGCCAACCTTGAGTTTACGAGTCCAGTTCTTATTGTACAGTGGTTACCCTGATCATTAAGACTCTTGGTTCCTGTGGGCTCTGAGTATTTCTTACTAAGGTCAACCCAGGTGGGTATTTTGTATATTAACACCCTTAATAACGATTGCCCTTTGAAGACAGGCAAACATCTAGACTTTAAATGGCACTATTTGGAATCATTAGGCCTTCCCAGACTTCCCTCACTTGGGGCCTGAGTTAAATAGTCTCTTCATTCACCTCCTGTCTTCATATCCAGAGCCTCTACAACAGGGGTCGATGGCTCTAGCAGGCTTGGGGGCAGTCAGAGTTTGTTATTACACAGCTGAACTGGAACACCATCCATCCAGCTGAGATGGGGTCCTGCGGCCTGAATCAGTTGGGAGTGTGTGATTTCTTAAACAGAGCCAAAAAAAACCAACACTAAAATGATGTTAGCTGATGTGACCACCTCTCATGTGAAATAGAGATGCTTGAGTACAATATGATACTTGAGTTTACTACAACACAACACAATAGTGTAGACGTGTATGTGTAATCAGTTCAGATATATACAGTATAATCTTATTATATAATTTCAAAATAAAATCTGAATTTAAGTGGGCTCAGAATTCAGGAGGAATCAAACGGTTCCAGTATATAAGGTGTTAGGGGCTGGGAAGGGATATAATGTGTGTTTAAAATTAGGGGGGAAAGTCCAATCAATAGCAGAGCAAGGAGGCTCTATGCTAATTTGGGAAGCAACAGTGAGTGGACACATTTTACTCTCTCAGTCATGAGACCAATGTTCTTCTCAAAAACAAAAACAAAACCAAAAAATTAGTTTTGAATACTGAGACCTGGTGAGCGTAATAGGAAAGGTTCATTGATATCCAATTGAGGAAAAGAATATGTGAGCACTCACCCCTGCTATTATTCCAGAATGCCAAAGAGCTCTAGTCAACAGTCAACACGGGTTAACTCTAGAATGCCCTTAGGCGTGTGGTCATTTTATTGCTTATAACAAATGCATGAGACAGCGAGGTGGGGGGAAATTAATTTCTGCTTGTTAGCAACTATGGCTAAAACAAAGTATAATAAAGTCATGGGAGAGGTGCTTTCTTTAGTGGGTGGCTAAAATTAAAATTTGTATCATCTGGCTGATTTCATGTTTCTACCCAACTCCATTCTACAAGCCAACCGGTCAGGCTAATAATTGAAGGACTGTTTTATTGATGTTTTCACTATCAAAAACATCCTGAAATACGTGGCCATGGGCTGAGGCATGGACATCACTTACGGACTGCTATTTTACTATAGCAGGGTTTTTTTTTTTTTGAATCCTTTCAATTCTCAGGAATTCAAAAACTATTTTTGAATCCTTTCAATTCTCAGGAAGAGGTGGGATTCACTCCATCTTATAGATGAGCATCTGCTGAGCCCCAAATTATAGACGGTGACAGGAAGATGAGGAAACTCACTTTAGAAGCCTACTAATCTTAAATTAGGGTCCTGGTGTGGTGCTGTAGGATAGGCACTGGAATGCTAACCATAAGGTCGGCAGTTCAATCTCACCAGCTGCTCCTTGGAAACCCTATAGGGTCGCTATGAGTTGGAACCAACTCTATAACGTTTAATAACAAGCTTAACCTAATGCTTAAATGCAATTGGGCATATATTTTTTTGTGGGGACAAGGGGTAGATCACGCTTAAACCTATAATAAATCCCAAAAGTCCTAAAAATGGGTCATCTGATATTTTCCCCACATTAATGGCTAAGACTTCATATTCTGAGTTCTGTTTGTCAACAAATACCAAATTTGTCTTCCTACAATGATGTAAGAGGAGGATCCTGACAAATGCGTGGATTTGCTTACGGAACAGAACAACAACAGTGAACACCCCTAAGGATCCTACTAGAGAAAATGTCAAAAGTACCCAAGTCGATTTTTTTGTTCAACAACAAATTTCTGGATTTTTCCAGGGCGACAACTGCTCTTTTCTACCCTTGAATTTCAAAAAAGGAAAAAGGCAGGTGAGGAGTTGGTGGGTAAAGCAGGGAGGGATGGAGCTAGTTTTAGGGTGATGTGCAGTAAGACAGAGGGAGGTGGACTCAGGAAGTGGGTGAGGAGCCTGGCAGTAGCTGTGGAAATGCAAATCTTGGGGCCATAGGTTTTCCTTAATTTTTAAACACAAAACCAAATAAAATAATTAACCTTCATGGCAGCCCCGTGTGTGTCGGAGTAGGACTGTACTCCATAGGGTTTTTATTTTCGGTGTCTGATATTTTGGAAGTAGATAACCAGGCCTTTCTTCTGAGGTGCCTCTGAGAGAACTCAAACCTACAGTCTTATGGTTAGCAGCCAAGTGTGTTATAAAAAATAAAGGCTTGGATGGACTGATGGAAGATCTATGTGGTGTATGATTTTAGCATCTATCTTAACTCCTCTAATCATCTCTAGGATGAATCACTGATGGAATGAATGCCCAGTCCCTGAAGAAAACACTAGGTGCCCACAGCAGAGAGGCTGGGAGGTCCCAGCCCTCCTGGTCTGTTTATGTCAGAGCTGAGATGATGAAGTCGTGCTTGTGGAAAGCCATCACTGCTGCCATCTGGGACACTTGCTTGTGGTTTTGTAACGCAGAGAAGGCTCAGTGGATATATCCTGGTGAGAGGATGGAGAGGCTGCACGGAGGCAAACATCTCACCTGAGTTAGAACTCAGGACACTGGATGAGCATGGCTGGACTGACAGTGACCTGAAGGCCAGTGCTGAGAAAGTGCAAACTGACAGTTTTGTCAAAGAAATCTTTGAATGGTTTTAAAACAGATTTTTTTTTTTTTTTTTTTAAAGGGGTGGCGTTATGGTTTCTAACAGGTTTTATCAAGGTGCCTACACCAACGCTGGAACACTTCAGTGCTTTACCTCTATACTAGTTTATACAGCTCCTCCAATTACATAATCATTTTAAGTATGCTACTAGATCTGAGTTTTACAAGAACGCATCTAGAACATTCTTTGTGAAATAAGGCATCTTTGGGGGCAATCACTTAACTTTTATCTTTTCTGTATTGGCACATTTTCATTCTCCACCAGCATACATTCTGTATGCTGTTGAGTCTATTCTGATTCATGTAACCCCAGGAGTGTGTGCCAGAGCACAACTGTGCTCCATAGGCTTGTCAATGGCTGGTTGGGGGAGAAGTGTGTATCACCTGTGCTTTCTTCCGAGGTACCTACAGTAGACTCGAATCTTCAATCTTTCACCACCCAGGGGCTCTGCATCTTGCTCAACGGCTCACCTGTGCACCAGAAGTCACCATCACCTCTCTTCCTTGCATTCTGTGCTGCCAGAAGCTGGTGGTCTTCCAGGGAGAGGATGCCCTGGGGGGTAGAGGTCACTCTCTGGGCCAGGTCCCCACCATTTAGAGACGTGAAGCTTCTTGGGTGCTCCCCGTGGGCCCTCTCCGCCGCCTTCAGTTCCTCTGCCTCCTCCATGGAATCCGAGCTCCTGGAGCTCAGAAGCCTCATCCGGGACACAGAGCTGACCTCTCTCATTCTCAGCAAGCGGTCAGGGTCCACCCTCCTGGAAGGGGAGGCCAGTTTCTCTTGTAAACTTTCAATCACTTTGGAAGTACTTCTGCACCTCTTCTCTGAGCCTGCCACATTTGGACTCTTCTCCATAAAATGGAACAAGGTGGACCTGAATGGGGGTTTTTTCTCGGAGTCCTTCAGATCCAAGGACTCGGGGCCCAGGGGGTTGGGCTGGGGCTCAGGGCCGGAGGCATCAAGGGCCATGGCCCCGTCCGTACCTGAGTGGGCAGACGTGTGGGCAGACCGTCTAGTCATGTCTCTCTCCCCTACAAAAAGAGGGCTTTCAGTCCAGCCACACTTCCTCCGGCCGTAAAAGGCATCTTTTGATGCTGAGGGGCCATCTGGCTGGGCTGAGCTGGTCAGTGGTTCTTCCCTGGGTGAATCGGGCCTGAAGGCACTTTCGCTACTTTCGGGCCAGTGCTGGTGTTCAGGTCTCCTGCTGGCCCGCAAGAGAGACTCCACCGCAACCTCGATGCCCAAGATCCGTTCAGCCCTTTCTTGGAGGGACTCATTTGGGGGGATTTCTACTGCACTTGCTTTCTCAGAAGAGCTGTCTAACTTGCTAGCGTTCGGCTCTTGCCCCATAAGCAGCCCCACAGACCGTAGGTCTGGTGCGGAGAGTCCCCGGTTTTTGTTAGCGAGGGAAAGCAGAAACTCAGTCTCCCTGTCTTCCCGACTCTCACCCTCTGAGGTGACGGCATTGCTCGGTTTGAGAACACTCATGTCAGGGCTATAGTTCTGGCTTTCCCCTGGCTCTCTCCGTTCAGCTGGGGAGAACGTGGGGACTGGCTTGGTGTCACTCAATCTAAACGCCATGGTTCTTTTCACAGGATCTGGGCTGATAGCTACTATGCTTTTTCTTGCTCCAACCTCCTGTTTTCTCTTCTCTGTGATCCAGTTTCCATCTGCCGACCTGAAGGATTCCCCTCGGCTATCTTGGGCCTGCAGAAGGGCCGGGGCCGGAAGGCCCACCTTCTGCTCCTCATTATAGCTGTCAGACTGACTTTTCACTCTTCCCGACCTAAAGCCAGGCTCGGGTGGCATCGGTGTCCGGGGCTGCTGCTCACCGCTCACTGCCTGGCCATACCCACTGAATCCGGCCTGCTTCCACCTGGAGTCTCCACTGTCCTCCTGCTGGCCCTCGGCCTCACTTTCCTCACTCCCGCACACACTGTTGGCTCCGCTGCTCTCTTTCTGCTCTTGCAGTTCCCTGTTGAAGTTTTCTAGCTGACTTATTAAATCCCAGGGACGACGGCTCACAGGCTTCAAGAGAAACTGACCAAAGAGCTGCTGACTGTTGCATGGACTTGTGGGTTCCCCCTTCACCACCTCGCCCTTGGGTGGAGGGCTGGCCCCGTGATCGTGGACATCCATGTGCGGCTGACTCGGCCACACTCTGGGCGCAGGGGCTTGGTTTATGGCTGAGGGCGTCCTCGAGAAAGCACTGTTGCTAGAGGGGCTGAGGTACATTTGACTTTTTAAGCAGTGACCATTCAACCTTTGCTTCTGGTCACCAGGAGTTAGTGCTGCATGCACTGGCGCACCCGAGGTAGCGGGGTCGAAGTAATTTGGAGCCAACACTGTGTCACCCGAGGCTCCTGGCTTCGCACCTAGGAGGAGCTGTGAGCGTTTGGATTCTTCAGTGAAATTGGTCTGTGTCTGCTGGTCTCTGAACTGGTGCCCTGACCAAGAGGTAGAGTACTTCAGTTCTCGGTGTCCTGTAGGCTGAATGAAACTTAGGTCATTTGTTTGTGTATCTTCTGCTACTCTCAGATCTTGTTTTTGTAGCTCTGTTCTGTTGGACATGCTTCCTGTGAGAGCCTGCAGCTCCAGGTCGGTGGAAGACATGCTCAGGAGACTTTGTTCTTGCAACACTGGGCTGATAGGAAGGCCACTCTTTTTATCAGCATTCTTCTCTAAGTCATTGTTGTTCCTATCTATGGCGGGCAGATGTGATTCGGATTTCACTGGGATGGAAACCAAGCAAAACACAGTCTCGTTCTTTTTGATCTTTGAACTTTTCTTGGGCTGGAGTCCAGTTTCAAACTTTTTGAGCTTGGTGACGATTTCACAGGCACTCTCAGCCTGTGGGTTTGGGGAAGAAGGACGGCCTTCGGAGTGTCCACACTGGGCACCTTTCCCGTCAGCTCGCTGTCCTTGCACAGTACAGCTGTCTCTTTGGTCGGCCACGTCACCGCTTTCCCCATCCCAGGGGAGCCGGCCCGCCAGCCACTGGGGGCTGGGATAGGAAATGGCAGAGGCCGTGGGGGTCATGTTTTGCACATTCAAAAAGGCACCCCCAGGTTGCATTTTCTTATGAGCTGGCTCTTGGGGGACAGCAGGCCGAGGGCTGTATAAGCTATCATAGAGCTTGGTTTCTTCACAGACACCCTGGGGGTGACTTAGTTTAATGTGTCGTATCCGCGGGTCATCGAAAGGAATATACTGAACAGAGCTGTTGTAAGCAGAGGGGGAACAGGGGTGTTGGGACAGCCGGCGAGGAGAGAGTGGGCTTGTACCGAACCCATGGCCGGTTTCCAGGGAGCCGGGAGAACGCTGACAACTGGGACCGGCCTTTTCGGTGGGAGGGTGCTGCTGACTGCGACCGCCCCCCACACGTCTGGGTGCGGAGTCTTCCAGGTATGGGTTTGTGATGTGAGGGGAGGGTGAGTGGTATGAGGGGGGAGGCACGTAGACTGGGGGCTCCAGACTGGAGTCGGACCCACAGCGCTCTTGCCTGGGGTCACTGGTTTTGGTCAGATAGGAAATGTACAAGTCGTCGGCGTCCTGGTACTCGCTGTTTTCCACCCCTCCCCTGGATTGTTGGTGGAGCTCGTAAGACGGAGGCTTGAGGGGTCTCCCATACTTAGGTTGTAGAAAAGGAGCCACGAAGCCACCCTTCTCCGTGTTCCTTGTGGACTCCAAATTTGGAGGATACAGTGGAGCCTCAGGAAACCTTGGCAAGTGCCCGTCGGTCAGTGAAAGGGGTGTGTCCAGGCAGCTCAGGCTCTCAGGGAAAAGAACTTTTGGCAACGACTGTGACTTCCCTTTGTTTGGAGGGTTCGACCGGTGCCCCCCTGGAATGAATGGGTACAGATCGTGGAATAATTTCTCCCCGCCACCGTCAGACATCTGCCTCCCCAACTTCCTCGGCTGCTTCCAGCTCTCCAGGCTTACGTTCTGCCACTTGGCAGCCTCTGCCATTCTCAGCTCTTCTTCCCAAACTGCCTTCTTTGTCACATTCTCGGTCCTTGCTCCAACATCCCATGGGCCCTCTCTCAAGTGGACAGGCCGACTGTGGGCCTGGGCCAGTCCTCTGACCTCCAGGTCTTCTCGGTCCCTCTGGCTCCTCCTCCAGTACGCTGGGTCGTTCCCAGTCTGCGGCTGAGAGGACCACACTAACTGCGGTTGGTGATAAAACCTACAAATAAAAAGGCACAGACTTTAGTCACATGAAGGGAGGAAACACTGTGAGCAGCATCCACGTCAGACTCAGGGCAGTCCCTTTAAAAATGTTTGCCACCCATAGTACTTGTCAAGTTTAAGAAGAACATCATGGCTGGCAGAGAGCCATGGGTTTTGCCATTAGGGGCCTAAGAGCAGCAGCAGCGGCAGGCTGACCCCAAGAACACCAGCGATGCCAAGTTCCTCAGAACTTTAAAACGCCCAAGGAAACCAGGGGAAGGTGGAGAGCAGGATTTCTCAAGGTCTGCCTGGAGGTCTGAAGAAAACCATAGCTTGCTGGCTCAGTGCAGCTCTCCTGAGTACTCTCTGGGAATGAGGGCTGGGAGCTGCCTTATAGGACAAGGCAGGGTTTCCAAGGCTGCAAGTCCTTAGGGAAGCAGATGGCCACATCTTTCTTCCACACAGCAGTTGGTGGTTTGAACCATTAACCTTTTGGTTTGCAGCCAAGAGATTTTAACCACTGTTCTAATAGGGCTCTTTGCTTTATAGCCTTGGTCCTTTAACTTTAATGTGCATCAGAATAACCAAGAGTATCACTAAAACACAAATTCCTGGCTATGCCCTCAGAATGTCTGGGAGGTGGATGGGGACGAGGGGCCCCTGAGTGATGAAAATGGTTAGCATGGTCAGCTACAAACCAAAAGATTGAAGATTCAAGTCTACCCAGAGGTACTGCAGAAGAAAGGTCTGGTGATCATCTTCCAAAAAAAAAACCCGGCATTGACAGCCCTGTGAAGCACAGCCCTCCTCTGACGTCCATGGGGGTCCAGGAGCCTGATTTCACTCCACAACAACTGGTTTTGTTTTGTATTGTTTGTTGTTGTTGTTAAGTGCCAACGAGTCAGTTCCAACCCATAGTGACCCTGTATAGGGTTTCCAAGGAGCAGGTGGTGAGCTTGAACTGCCGACCTTGCAGTTCAAATGGCTTTGCAGTCTGGCACATTGGTGCCACAATGCCACACCAGGAAACACACTTAGAGAACTATTAATGCCAATGCTAGTGGTTTTTGAATTTGACTATACATTGGAATCAAGGAGCTCTGGTAGCGTAGTGGTTACGAATTGGGCTGTGAACCTCAGGGTCAGTAGTTTGAAACTACCAGCTGTTCCGCAGGAGAAAGATGAGCCTTTCTACTCCCGTAAAGATTTATAGCCTCAGAAACCCTGTACAGGGTTGCTATGAGTCAGAACCGACTCCAGGGCACATAACAACAACAATACATTAGAATCACTACAGGAACTTAAACTATCCTGACTCCTGGAAACATCCACAGCCCATAGTATTTTCAATCGCCTCATATGCATATGAAAATTGGGCAATGAATAATGAAGGCCAGACCACAGAAGAAAGAACGCATTTGAGTTCTGGTGCTGGAGAAGAATGTTGAATGGACTGCCAGAAGACCAAACAAGCATGAACTAGACGAAGTACAGCCAGAATGCTCCTTAGAAGACAGGATGGCTGACTTCATCTCTCAAACCTCAGACATGCTATCAGGAGGGTGCAATCACTGGAGAAGGATATCATGCTTGATAAAGTGGAGGGTTAGTGAAAAGAAGGAAGACCCCCCCACACACACACACACCACAAGGCGACGCATTGACACAGTAGCAGCAGCCGCTGCAACAATGGGCTCCAAGGTGACGGCAGTGAACTGTTTTGTTCTGTTGTGCAGAGGGTCGCTATGAGTCAAAACCGACTTGACGGTACCCAACAACAGCATGTCTTAGTGCAACGCTGCAGGATAACGCACTGGACCGTAAAGTGGGCTTGAAGCTCCAGGTCGGCGATTCAAACCCACCAGCCGTTCCTTTATAGGGTCGCTATGAGTCAGAACCGATTCAAAGGCACCTAACAACAACAAGGCAGTATCACAGGCCGACTGCATTAGAATCTCTTAGGGAGAAGGGGGACAGCCAGGGTTCAGTATTGCCCAAGTTCCTCCAGGTACTTCCAGAGTACAGCCAGAGCTGAGAGCCCCAGTTCTAGCACATTCCCACACTTCCGTGATGGGAAGAACCATCCAGAAGGCTCATTAAGTACAAATATTACCAGGTATGTAACTCCTCCTGAAAATTCCCGTTCAGTAGGCCTGGGCTAGGACCTGGGAATAGGTAGGTAACTTGCTAGCATTCCAGACCACTCTTATTCTGAGGTGATTTGGGAAAAAAGGGGTAAAACTGTCCATTATCCTCAAGTCAGTTCTAATGCATCATAAACCTTTACAAACACAGAGAACTACATCACTCTCCCACAGAGCAGGTGGTGGGTATGATGTGCTTATCTGGTGGTAAGCAGCCCAATGCCTAACCCATAGCACCACCAGGGCTACTTAAAAGGAAGTGTTGGTGGATCTTTGTATGGGACAGAACTCTTTCTCTCTCTGAGGTCGGGCATGGTAGTATCCAATATCCGCCAAATTCTGGATAGCTGGTACATCACACAAATGGGCTTTAGAATTACCTTGGAAGCCCTTTATAAAAATTCTCAGTGCCTACTCCCCACTGTTGAGGTTGTTGTTAAGTGACAACCAGTCAGATTCGGCTCATTTGACCCTGTGTAGGGTTTCCCAAGAGAACTCTGGTAGTGTAGTGGTTACGAATCCGGGCTGCGAACCACAAGGTCAGCAGTTCGAAACTACCAGCTGTTCCGTGGGAGAAAGATGAGGCTTTCTGCTCCTGTAAAGATTTACAGCCTTGGAAACCCTAAACAGTGTCGCTATGAGTCGGAACCGACTCCACGGCACACAACAACAACAACAACAACAACAAGGGTTTCCCAAAAGCAGCTGGTGGGTTTGAACCACCAACCTTGTGGTTCACAGTCCAGTGTTGATCTTAAATGCCACCCCAGGAGTCTACACTATTGGACTGAATCAGTCTATTAAGGAACCCAAAACTGGGATACAGTTCAGAATCTCTCCAGATGATCCCAGCATGCACCTGGCATGTAGAATCACTACCCTCACGCAATGACACTAAGTATCTGCACAACGTGGTTACACTATGTGGGAATGCTGAACTTCTGCCTAGGACTGTAACACACCTGGGAGGAAGCTCTAGGAACTCAATGATTTCGATTTTGATTTACCATGGGCTAAAGAGAAATGTCTCAACTCTCTACAACCACTCTGGGCTTTTCAAGTCATAAGAGTCATTTCTCTCCACGGTTGAAAATTTAGAAGCACAGAAGAAACTACACACAACAACAACAACACAACAGTCTTTGTAATCTTTCCTACAAAGAGAGAGTTGCTGGTGGTGGCCATTGTGTGCTGTCGAGTCAATTCCAACTCATGGTGACCCTGTGTAGGGTTTCTGAGCCTCATCTCTCTACGCAGGGCAGCTGGTGGCTCCAAACTGTGGCCCTTGTGGTTAGCAGTCCAATGTGTAAACCCACTATACTACCAGGGCGTCTTAAGAGGTCGTTACTTTGATATTCAGGCTTTGTGTGAGAGACAGACTACGCACAGTGATTAAAGCACTCAGCTGTTAACCAAAAGGGCAGTGGTTCAAATCCACCAGCCACTCCATAGGAGTAAGATGTAACAATCTGCTTTCATAAACATGTCCAACCTTGGAAACCCTATGGGACAGTTCTTCTCTGCCCTGTAGTGTTGCTGTGAGCTGGAATCAACAGTAGTGGATAATCTACCTTGTATTTGTTTATGTGAACATTTACCACCACTTCTACGACAAACAACAGCAGGTACTTACTACATGTTAGGTCTACACACGAAGGAGTCCTGGTGGTACTGTGGGTAATGAGTAGGACTGCTAACTACAAGGTCAGCAGTTCAAATCTACCATTCACTTTGAATGAGAATGATGAGGTTTTCTGCTCACAAAAAGATTCCCAGCCTGGGAAACCCTGTAAAAGGTGGCTGAGAATCGGAACCAACTCCACAGCACACCACCGTCACCACCATCACCAGATCTATTCAGGAGTCCTGGTGTGCACTGAAGGATAATCACTGGACTACTAGCCACAAAGTCAGCTATTCAAACCCAGCAGTCGCTCCTAGGGTAACCATGAGTTGGAACCGACTCCACGACACTTAACAACAGCAACAGGTCTATACTTAAAGCCCAGCAGGCACAGTGGCTAAGCACGCTGCTGCTAACTGAAATCCTGGCAGTTTGAACCCATGGACAGTTCCAGGGGAGACAGACACACAATTTACCGCCCAGGAAACCCTCTGACGCAGACTTACTGTGACTTACAGTTGACAATAACTCTTGGAGTTGCGATCAACTAGATGGCATCAGGTTAGATCTGGCTGTAGCCTGGACTACAGTCACCACACGGTGCCCAAAAGGGTAATGTTATGCCCTGTTATCTGTGTCATTGCTAAGAGATGGAGCTGACTCAGTGGCAGCTAGCAACAAACAACAGGGATGTACTGTTTTCTACGCACTGACTCATGCAAGCTTCACAAGCATTCTTCTGAGGTAGACACTAGTGTTTTGTTCCCATTTTACAGATGAAGAAACTGAGGCCCAGAAGTAACTTGTTTAATACTATTAGTTGATGGGCACTTATGCTGTGTCAGGCTAGGCTGAGCACACTAAATGAATTACTTCATTTCAACTTCAGGCCACCATTGGTGGTGGTGTGCTGTAGAGATTTCAACTCATAGTCACCCTGCATAGGGTTTTCCAAAGCTGTAAGTCTTTACGGGGGCAGAGAACCTCATCTTTTTCCTGGGGAGCAGCTTGTTATTTTGAACTGCTGACCCTGTGGTTAGCAGCCCAACACATAACAACTATGCTACCAGGGCTCCTTGATACCACCATTATGTCCCTTGTTTTATAGATAAAGAAATTGAGGCAGAGAGGGTCAATAAATTTTACAAAAGTCACACAGCTTAGAAGTGGTGGGGGAAGGAATCAAATGTGAGAAATGTGAACGTACAGTACATTCTACTTCTTCTCATGGAATGCAAAAATTCCTCA